TACCTTTACACCTTTATAGAAACTGTCAGGACCTTATCAATCATTTATCTCTATGTCCAAAGAGGGGAACTATGTCCTTAACCAATGAATTCTTAGCATCAGTACACCCATAAAATTCTGCTCTACAAACCCAAGTTCCACATGGCCATGCCTATGAGATTAGCTTATGATCTCAAATATTCTATTATATTTATGGTTTAATGGTAAGACCAAATTTCATCGAATTCTCCTCTGTGTCTTTAATAAACGTTCCTAGTTTCTCAGTAGTTTTAAGATGAAAAGCATATTCATTTGTTTCTGCCATAGCTATTGTCTTTACCTTCTAGTCTGTCCTGGAGACAAACCGTCATGTCACCGTGGTCGGCAAACTGCGGCTCACAAGCTACATGCAGCTCTTTGGCCCCTTCAGTGTGGCTCTTCCACAAAATACCGACTTCTGCGCATGGACCACGAAGTTTCAGTCACACTGTATCGCACTGTGCACGCCCGCACGTGGTATTTTGTGGAAGAGTCACACTCAAGGGGCCAAAGAGCTGCATGTGGCTCGGAAGCTGCAGTTTGCCAAGCCGCAGTTTGCCGAGCACTGGATGTGCATGTCAAAGAAAGAGTCCTTGTTTAGATTTTTTTGAAGGATTTTGAGCATGACCAAGTGCTGATGCCCATCTAATAGATCCTGCTACAGATAATCGGCCTCAGTCTCATATATGAATACTTTGGCCTCTAGATTGGTTATGTTGCTGTTGAGAGTGGTCAGGCCAATGTTGCAGCTAGATACCCTTTTCTGATCTATTTTAGCATGGAGATATTTGTCTTTACATGTTGCCTGTTCTATCTCTGTGGATCTCTTTCTTTGAAACTGGGGTAAGTGGGACAAGAACTAATGGTAACACTCGCTATTCTCTTCCTACCATTCCAATACCTTTCTAATGTCTGTGGTGAGAATAAAATTAGGGAGAACGTGTGGCTATCTTTTTGTGCTTGCCACTTTTGTTTGGTCTACATTCCTTCTAGGTTATAATTTCTCCTGTAATCTAGGCAAACAGAGTACTGTTAACTTTATGTGATTCAATCTGATTTACCACAGTGCAGGGATCCACATAGGAGGAGTATTAAACCTTCAAAATAGTAAAGTGTTGCCTTGTGGATATAGCTGCTTTTGTCATAGCTACTAGACATTATGAATTCTAGAACTTATAGTGTTTGCATCTTTACTTGGATCACTGGTAAACTCAGAGCAACATTTGTGAACCACTTTGAGTAAGTGGAAGGATCTTTTGGTACACATTTAAGGTATTAGCCTTAGCTTTATATTATTTTCCTTTCCCTGTGATTTTCTTATTTATTCTATTTTTCAGTTGTGATTTTAATGAAGTTAATTCAACTCCAGTATATGTGTTGCTGAAGTAAGCACAAGCTAACTCAACTCTAATCAGAGCCTTAGAACTAATAATTATTATTATTATGTGTAAAAATATGAGAACTAAGCAGTAATCTATAATACCAGCTGGTTAGTCACAGAAAGGAAAAGATCAAGAGTACTGTACTGTATTGGAAACTGTAAACTATGTGGAATGGGTTGCAAGATCTTAAAAGAAATGCAAATAGGATGGATCATGAGGGCATAAATGAGAAAGCACTGGGCAAGCCTCAAAGATTCAGGGCACTAAATAAAGAGCTATGGAGGTCCTACTGCTTGACCGCCTGGCATCATCTCACCCTGGACACTAATTTGAAAATGCTTCCACGATGACTTGAATTCATCCTTTATATCACCTCTCTTTAAATCTCAAGAAAAGATCTTGGATCACAAATGACGGAGCCCAAGATGTTTGTGCATTGTTTTCCATTTCTTGGCTGTCAAATTGATTTTAACTAATTGGAAAGTCTTCTCTCAGATCTTATTCATGAAGCCACTAAATATAATGTACATAGCATTAAACTGTGTAAAACATGCACTAAGGCAGGCTTATCTGATAAAAGACAAGTATACTCTGTTGAATCCCTTAAATTAGAGTAGCTCATAACAGACATCATTTCACAGAAACATCTTCTTTTGGAAGCTAAAGACTCCCTAAATATGGTCTTAATTAGCCTGT